TCTAACGCTGGTAAAATGATCTGTGACCCCTCAAATAAACCAGATATGTTCCCAATCAAGGTAAGAGCTCTGTGTTTTATGAATGCACAAATATTTGACTTCTTCACTGGCAACACACACCAGAGAGCGCAATCCTCATCTTCACACACCTGCAAAGCATTCATGTTTATGTACTAGTTGGATAACAACTGCCCTAAGAATGACACCTGGTGTATGCAGCTAGTAATAACACACGGCTTTGTTCAGCTTAAGTGGAAAACTCAAACTGAGGTTGGCGTAAGGATACCGCCATTCACTTCCTTCTGCCGCCGCCACCGTTCGCCAGAATCATCACCAGCCTCATGAAGATGTTCAACGTGTCCATGTAGATCCCCATACACCTGTAAGACGATGAAGAGGATGAGACTCACCTTTGATGTGAGTACATATCATTAAAGAAAAATATATGTTAACACTTCGAATTTAAGTCCTTTTGTTCTCATCAGTTAATTCTTGAGTACAAGTAAACGTTTGTACTAAATTTGAGGCATTAATGAGCTGTTGTGTTGAGAAGAACGTGATGGAGGGAATAAGTGCGGAGGGACAACCAGAAAACACATATTTTTGAATCAGGTTTTCCCACAGAGTTCACAAATATTTTATTGCCCCTGAAGTCAACATTCTTCTGCATACAACTGCTTTTGATTGTGAAGTAAAATTTCCTTGGGTGACTTACGTATTGATTGGATCAAACTTCTGTACGCCATAGAGAGGATGTGTCTCTGCCTTCTTGATGACTTTCTGCGTATCATAGAGAAGGAACATGCTGAACAGGACCAGGCCTCCATAGATGGCCACTGAGTAAAGACCTGCTCCAAACGCTGAGGTGGGGGGCAGGAACATTGATCCTGGAACACACAGGGACATTTTCTGTCAGAGTGAATGAACAGTTTCTGTAGTGTGGTGGTGGATTTATAGTTTAAACATGACATAGAGACATAAATAATCAATTTGTAAACTACTAAATAGCAAATAACAATATGTCGGTAACTGAATGAACTATCTACCTCATGAATTTACAGAAATGATAGTGATGTATGGCTATCATCAAGTGTCAACAAAGAAGTATGCCTTTCAAAATCTGGTGTGATGTCCTCATCATTATTATTATTGTTAAATAGATTTTTATTTTGTGTAGAAGACAGATTTTGTGCATGACACAGGATATTATCATAGTAAAAGCACACAATACTAGAAATGTAATGCTGTTTGTGTGCATTCACGATGTAGGCTACATTTATTTAAATAAGTGACATTTTGCTATGATAATGTACTTTAACTGTCATCAGTGGTAAACACTGCACCACTGTTATACACATAGGAGACTGTATGTTACATCCATTAAACAATGGTCTATTTATACACACAGCACAGACTTTGTTCAGATCAGCAACACTGCAATTAAAAACTGCGCCCTTCTATTCATTTAACTGAGACCACTGACTGTGGTGGCAGAGCGGGGCTGCTGATGCAAACACACCCTTTCATTCTCTATCACGTGCAGTGTCATTTTCAGTGTTTTTCTGCCGTTCAACAAAGACGGGTTTACGGGGTGAAACTGCAATATACGAACCGATAGAGGAAGCGAAGACCACTCCAAAGCCCACAGCCAACGGACCACCCATATTGAGGAACTTCTCGCTTGGGGCACACATGGCCACAGTAGAGAGACCTCCCACAATGCCTGCTGTGTACCAGGCAGCCCTCATCATCAGGGGCCCTCCCAGGAGAGTGAGCGGTGCGATGACAGCACCCATGACACCTTGTCAATGAAAACAACAAAGAGAGAGAGATAAATGCTAAAGTCAAAATAAACAACAGCTAAACAGATATGTGCCATTAATCTACATGTGGTGTAAGTGTATTCAATTCAGCTGCAGCTGTTTCTTGCTGAGCCTGTACATGACTGCCATCTAGTGTTAAACCAAGGCAGCTACATAAGGGAAATATGGCAGAGTAGGACAGAATTGAATAATATTTGTCCAAAGGACATCATCTTACAAACCTGCATGGAACATCCAAGCGAGGTGTTTTGGCACTGGGCTGTGTTCATATGAAATCGACCTGACCAGCATGCCTGCACCAATCATGGCTGCAAAAGTCGCGCCAATCGCCTGGGTTACAACAAACAGCAGCAATCCATATTAATCGAATATAATATTTAAGTAGTACAGTTATTAGAAAACGAGCTGTGTTGTGTTTTAAAGCTTACGAGCCACGATCCTCTCATCATCAGACCCATAAGTGCTGGGGTCCTGCTCACAGCTACAGCAGACAGAGCAGTCAGTCCAATGCTGCCTGCAAAGTACATGTAGGTAGAGTGGATCCTGTCCCTCACATACTGAGGCCAGATCCTGCACAGATAAAAAACAAGCCAAGGTTGATCGTGGACACTTTGAATTGACCTGTGCTTGAGAAACAAATTAAAGAGCTGCTGGTACAAAAAGCTGTTACTCACACTGCTTTCTCAATGGCACCAATTTCATTTGACATGCCGAGTCCATAGTAGCACAGAGCTCCAAGACCAACTGCTGCACCTCCAGCCAGAATCATTCTCCCCATACTGTCAACTGAGGACAGAAAATATATATTTTGAATTTCAAAATGCATCATATCATAAAACAAATTACTTACTGAAGGTTTTAAAGACAAGGACAGTGACTATCTGAGGTAAAATATTTTTGTCATCATACAGTGGCTATTTTGTTTAAAATTAAAGAAGGCTTCTGTCCACAAAGGCTGATGATATTTTTGTAAAATTATAGATTGTTTACTAAGGTGAATAGACTCAAACTCCAGTAACAGCACATAGTAGAATATGATACTCTAATTAAGTGTTTACTTCTGATGGCGGTATCTGTCGCTGGCTCAAAAGCTGCTTCTTTGAGCTGGTCTCTGGTCGTCCTCCCACGGCGGAAACCAAACTTGGCTTTAGAGGAAAAACCCTGGTGAAAGAAGAACAGGCAGGAAACAAACCCACAAATATGAATCAACTGGGATTTCATGTCCAGTTCTGTATTTATCAGTGGATTGGACTACAGTCTGGGAGTCTTATTGAGAGCAACTTCCAGTCAGAGGAAAGGTCAGACACAATAATAAAGACACTGGTTGGACTGGTACATAGCTCAAGTTTGCATCCCATCAGTAAATTATATTTTTTGGCTAGTTTGAAAAATCTGAGTTGCTTCCAACATCTCTTATCTGTAGCGATGGCTTCTGATAGTGAGTTCTTGATCCTGCACAGGATCCTGACTGAGCATAAGGTACAATCAGTGGCACCAAAATTGGTTCAGACATATCCTGTTTACAACACAAAGTGGGAGTGAAGGACATATTCTGATATTTAATCTGTTTCTAGTCAGTCATTTTAGAACATAGGACATGGAGGAGAACAGCCCTTTTAAATTTGAAGGTCTACTGCACTAATTAACATACCAATTTTTTCTTGTTGTTTTTTTATACGTTTTAAAAAGTGGCGACCAGTTACTTCAATTGCATTGGACTCAAACACTTCTGTAGCAGTGATCAGACATCTTGAGACACACTGGAGATCCCTGCCATGAAGACATGTGTTGTCTTTGCTGTACCTGCTGGGGCCTGAGCAGCGGTGGACAGGTCTTCAGGGTGGGTGCCCTCAGGGCCGGGGAGCCCTGCATCAGCACGGGACGGAGCCCGGCCACGGGCAGACTCCTCAGGCACGTCAGCCTCGCCAACAGCATGTTGAGTGTGTCTGATCCTGGATCAACCTGATGGACAAACACAGAAACGGAGCTGTTTTTCTGTCCGTCTGTCAACGTGACAGTCCCGAAGCCAGTTAGGAAACACGGTTGAAGTAAAACAGGAGAAACACAATTCAATTAAAGGCCAATTTTGATGAAACAGTTAAATAAGCTAGCCAACGTTAGCTAGCATGATACATCTACGTCAACACGCCTTTACGGCTACAGCGTCATTCAGACACTGAACCTGAAACTGTTGTAGTTTAACACATAAACTTACTTTAAACTTGAAGGATATACTTTAGTTTAGCAGCTGTAACGTGACGTGACAAACCTGAAGCACGAAACTCGTCGTTCACCTTCCAGAGACACAAGTGCGCAGCTCACTGACGCAATTGTTTTGCAACCTTCGTGAAAATTCTCCGTTTGTGCGTCATCACTAAGCGACGGGACCGCTGGGAGTTGTCGTTTCTTACGCCAGTCGGCACTTTCTTTACACGTGCCAGCGTTAGAATAAATATTTAGAGGCTTCATTTACATTTTCAACAAAGTCAAGTGTATAAATATTTGATCTCTTATATGTAGAGAGTAAGATGATGAACATTTCCTTCTAAAAGAGGTGGAAATAAGTGTAATCTGCTTGGTTTGTATATATTCATGGGGCTTTGCAGGATGGGTGTGGCATTTTGTTTTGTTAAATCATTTATATTTACACATTTTTCTGTCCTTCTCTGTTTTCCTTCTTTTTTTATTATTTTACTTCCTCCCTAGTTACTATCTTACATCACTTTACTATTCACGTATATATTGTGACAGTAAGTTAACAATATTTCCCTTTCAAATTCATAATAATATAATATAATAATGTCAGCAATCTGTAATGAATCAACCTACAGGTGTATACGAACGCTGTGACGCACCATGTGTTTTTGTCCACAAGGTGGCGTGCTGCCACCTATTGTTGTCCTATCAATGATAATAAAAACATGTATTTTTTCAGAAACATCTGTGTTTTCAGGCTGAATCCGGTTGTTTATTTCGAAGTTTTTTAAACCACACTGTTTAAATGTTTATTTCTTTGTAATTAAAGAGTACAGATTGTGCCTGGGGTGTGTGGGGGGGTCACTGAGGCGCGCCCCCTGCCTGCAGCTCCACTCCTCTGGACCAAACCTTCTCATGTGACTCCCTGAAGACGCAACTTTTTGGATGAACTTCTTCACTTCTTCAGTTCAGCGCCTGACCTGCAGCCTCCATCCAACATGCTCCCGTCTGGCCCACAGGTTTCACTCACCTTCACCAGCTCTGCTTCTTCTTCTTCCTCCTCTTCTCTTGGGTCGGATCACTCTTTGGCTCAGGAGTGGAGGTGAAGCCCTCGGGGAGTAATGGGATTATTTTTCTGTGCGGAGTCGCTCCTGGAGGAAACGGTGATCAGCTTCACGAGTGAGACGAGGCAGGACGGGTTCAGACTCCGCAGGTCATCATGATGGTGGGTATGCTGTGTACAGACACCTAGATTTACTCCATGATACTTCAACCATTACTAAAACCTATACTATGTCAAGGTGGGACTGAGGTGTGAATAAAGAGGCGACTGCAACTTACAATAAAGTCAGTTTATAGTTGTGGGAAGTGGTTTTCATTAAGGTTCAGTTTTATAATGAAAGCAGGACTTCACTGGACTATTTGTCCTTTTGACCTTTAAGTACATACTTTTATTTGCAGAGACCCTGAAGATCAATAAACACAGGATGAGTAATTCTCCCTATTTAAGTTTTGTAATCAAATCAATTTTAAACTAACTTCTAGAAAATTCACTGAGATAGATGTGTACCATGCATGCATATATATTGACTTACAGATGTTTAAAATCATCACATTGTCCCAAACATATTTATCTCACACACTCATGTATAGGAATGAAGTTCAGCTGCTATATATTCTTACAATGACTTCATGAATATATAAATATATTAGACAACTATTTATTATCTAACTTTTTTAGCCAAACTAATTCATAATGATCTCGATTAAACAGCTGGTCACCATAGCAACAGCACCACCTTTTCATTTTATCAGATGGACAAATCACCGGAACACTGAAATAGACCCATGTTTTCTTCTTCGGGTACATTGCCAAAGTATACACGCAACAACACACGCTCTCAGATGTCCTTATATAGACAATAATACTCTCTTATCACAGCGTGCATAATTATAGAGCAATGTTGACATATGACTGTGCTGTATATCAAGATTGGAGATTTTTCTACAAGCTAAATTAAGAAACATCAAAGATAAAGTAACCAGATGGAAATGACAGAGTGTTTTTAGAGGCTCATTTTAACTGTTGTACATTGTTTAAGTGATGGGAATCCAGCCATTGTAGCTACAGGTATCAAGAACAAAGAAGTGTATTTTTCTTCCATTGATTCATGACATGACTTAATACAACCACAAATATTACAAAGATAGATACCAGGTAACGGTTTCCAGCTCAACCCTGCTCCGCCTCTATATTTGAAACATTCTGTTTTTTGTCGCCTGTTATTTCTGTGCATAAGGACACGTCCCCCTTTAATTATCACACATAAATAAATACTGTGTGTGAGATAATGCAGTGGAAATATAACCCCCCTTCATGATGTTGTAATGGGATACTGTGTACATACAGCACACACTTACACAATCTCAAGCAAAAATGGGCTCGGCTGGCTGGTATTTAATTTGTCTTCACATGAGATGTACATTAAATAAAAGGCAGCTATTAAAAGCCTTTGTAACAAGATGATAAATAGTGCAGTGGTGGTTTTATTATGAGCAGATGATCAAACGTGTCATATGCCTCAGTGGTTTGTGAATATTCAAGAATGTCAGCTCATGTGTGTGTTTTTTTACTTTGCACAGCAGATGCAATAAGCCGAGATAATTGGTTTACATCTAATTTACCATACAAATGACAAAATCTCAGACCACTTATTTTCTTGATGAATTGTTGTAGCGTTTTTTTGTTTATTTCAAATCATATCTGGAGAAAACTTTAACCGCTTAAATATGAAATACTATACATTTCTGTCATTAATCTTCCCCTCAGTCATTGAGCCAAATCATTTTTAGTGTTTGTCTTAATCTGTTCAGGTTCAGTAGAAAATAAAGGATAAGGATAAATTGGCTGAACTGTAAATTCCACTCACATCTGCTGGAAACTGTATTGGCACAATGTTAAATGACAACTAAGCGCTTAAGGACTTAGTCATTTCCTCTGATTCAGCCGACTGTCTGACCAGTTCTACATGACTTGTAACATCCAGGGGCTTAGTCACTGACCCGAGTGAGATGTGAATGACCTGGGAGTTTATGTTCTGCGATCTCAGCCCACAGGGGGTTCAGAGTCACTCCTGTGTAAAGGGACCTTTGTGGTTGTGGCATGCGGCAGGGTGGTGCAAGATGGAGCTGATTTTTCCTCCCGGCAAAAACGTGTCTCAGGCCGTTCACCTTTTCATTACGCGCCGTTCCACGTCAACAAAACTCGCCATTCCCTCCCAGAGAATTTCACAGGCAGCGTCCAACCATTCCCTGTGTTTAGACTGTAGTCTCTTGGACAGGATGTGAGAACTGAACCTCCAGATGTGTTACAAAGAAACTCAAAAGACGTTCAGGCTTGTCAGAAGTCGGAGAACAACGATGATTCTTTGCACGGTGCTGCTTGTTTTGTGTCAAACACGAGTACCTTTGCTGTGCTGTGTGAAAAGGCTGGTTTGTTGCTTGTGGCTTTGCTGATTAACAGCAGCAGTTTCACTAATGTGTCGGGCCCGAGGCGGGACCTGCGATCGTTTAACACTGAGGGATCACATGCAGGCACACTCAGGGATCTGTTTGTGGCACCTTACAGATCCAATTAAAAAAATGTTTTCACAAACTCACGTCTGATTCAGGTTGAAATAAAAACACTGTAGATCTTCTGTGTGCTAGCTTACTGCATACATATCTAACTGGGGTATTTTATGTGGGCACACATCAGAATTACACTTCTCAGAGCAGAGTCTTGTTCACTCTTGCTTACTGACCCCTTCACTGGCAGAGGAGGTGGGCAGGATTAGGGTTAAAATCCAAAGATAAGTCAAGTCTGAGCCAAGTTACCTTAAAAAACCGAACAAATATTAATCCCACAGGAATGTGCAAGATATTCCCTAAAAAGCATCAGTAAAACTTCCCAGTGTCTGCCCTTTACAGGCTTATAAACATACAGAGAGGCCTCCAGGCTCCCAGCTCTAGCCTCTCTCCTTCAGTTTCAACACTGTGCTTTTACCTCTTCGTCTCCAGTATTTGAGCAGCACAAAGGGACATTATGGGGAAGCAGTAAGTCATTAGCCCATCAGCAGATGGTCTACTGTACCAGTAACCCATGTCACGAAGGGCCTCTGCTGAAAAGATCTCCTCCCAGTGCTGACATGAAGGAGCAGCTGGTAGTTTGGGCCACAGCCTTACCTGCAGTGGGAGGTAACATTATCACTGTAACCCAGACAACTCTGACTTCAGGCAAGCAGCTTCTCTGTTGTGGAATTTCAGTGCAGAACATTAGCTATTGGGTTTGTAGGAATCAAGTTACATTCAAAAGAGGACAAGAAACTTAACACTGAGTCACACAGTTTTCATTCTTTGAATAACAGAGTACAAAGGGTCATCAGAATGACAGACCCTTTTTCCGACACATTCTTGGTGAGTAACTACAGGCATCCAAATGATGCTACTTTGCCTCGGCACAGGGACGAGCAGCTGCTTTTGCATCTTTGTTGAGAGGTTCATAATTACCTCCTCCTCCGTCAACATGTTTGTATGCTGCTCTAGTGGATGTATCCCTGCCAACGTAAAAGAACCAGTGAAGTATGTTGGCTGCGACTGTTGCATTGTTTTAAATGGACGCAGTACTCTTGTAAAGGAAGCATAAGTGAACCATCACTCCATGCTCCTCTTAGAGGGATGCAATATTACTGATTGTAGTTACACACTGGGTTGCCTGATTGGTCCAATTCTAGTTTGCTAAGAAAACACCCAATTATCCGAACTGCTCATCTTCATCAGGGAGGTTCTGACTCTAGTACAATCTATACTCTGCCTAGTTATCCTTGAAAGACATTACTTGTATCTGCTGATCAGGATGTTCTCTCCCTCTTCTCCACCAATCTTGTCATTAAAACCCTATTGCTAATATCCTTCATTGAATATATATGAGGCCAAGTATTTGTTACTTAAACACATTTGTGCCCTCGCTGTTCATTCTTCAGGTAACTTCTGCAAAGACTGACTCACACAGTAAATACAGTGCAGCAGCTCTCAGTCTAGCATGGTGGGTGGGCATGTTCCTGAAATGCACTGGTGCACTTAAAGATAACAAGGACTTCCTCGTGGGGAGGACTGTCTCAGATTCCAGCCTTTGTCTATTCTTACCTTCCGAAGATATGATATATTTGTCACTCAGTGAATCCTTGTCCTGATGCTGTGCTTACTTAAGTGAGGAAGAAGAGAGTCATGTAGGAGTGACATGAGCCTCTGTGTTACCACAACTGTGGTGCAGCATCACGGTGCAGTTTCACATATGCAACAATAGACTTTCAACTTCCCCAATTTCCACAAATAGTTCAAACAAATATCTAGAAGTGCGCAGACAGAAGGAATTGAGACCAAGTAGGTGCTCGCAGCCGTGCTCATGTGTGCAAAATGTGTAACTGACAGGTTGATGTGCATTTCATTTACAGGGTGAAACATTGCCTACAGCGAGGAATACAAATAACTGGAAGGCTCTTTAAGAAGGCGACTGGAGACTTGCGAGATTGGCAGAACCTATTAAGAAGCAGTCTGTAAAAGCATATCCAGACACAGCTACATCCAAGAATGAGGATCAAATACACAATATCCATTGTCTTTTTTGTGGCACTTGTTATCATTGAGAAGGAAAACAACATTATCTCAAGGTAAGTCCATTTAAGTGTTCAATGGAGCGTGCTTGTGATTTTCTGCAAGTGTGTGTATATGTTTGTTTTTTCTGAGCAGATATTTCATAAATACTCCTTTAGCAGCATAAAATTGCTTCAAATAAAAAGATGAATAACAAGGCTGTGAATTATTTCTGTTGACTTATGAAGCTCATATGACTCTGGTTCCTCTCGCACTCACAGGGTTTCAGATAAGCTCACGTTAAAGCAGACCCCCCAGACCCCTCTACAGCCAAGTAGCTTCTCCCACATACTGCTGAAGCACAATGGTTCCGTTACCTCACTCAAGATGGACTCTGCCTTCACGCTGATGAAGCGGCGCCTGGAGAACTACAGCGAGCACCAGGAGGTGGTGACAAGGGGAAGTAAACACATCCTCCTGCTGGCCACCACCAGGACCGGTTCCTCGTTTGTGGGCGAGTTTTTCAACCAGCAGGGTGACAACATGTTTTACTTGTTTGAGCCGCTGTGGCACGTAGAGAAGATGTTGACACTGGACACTGGAGGCACCAACGCCACAGCGTCGGCCAAGGCGTACCGTGATGTACTCCAGCAACTCTTACTGTGTGACTTCTCCCTGCTGGAGAGCTTTATCGACCCCCTCCCTGTGAACCATATCACCACTGCTCTTTTCCGCAGGGAGTCCAGCAGCTCTTTGTGTGAGGAGTCAGTCTGCAGCCCCTTCGTCAAAGGGGTCTTTGAGCGATATCACTGCAGGACCAGGCGCTGTGGGCCCTTGAACCTGACCATGGCGTCTCTATCCTGCATCCAGAAGGAGCACAGGGCCATCAAGTCAGTGAGGGTACGCCAGCTGGAGACCCTCCGTCCTCTGGCTGAGGACCCACGTCTTGACGTGAAGTTCATTCAGCTGGTTCGGGATCCTCGGGCTGTCCTGGCCTCACGCATGGTGGCCTTTGCAGCCAAATACAAGAACTGGAAGGAGTGGGCCGCAGGTGGGGACGTACCCATCGATGATGACGAGGTGAGGAAGTTGAAAGGGAACTGTGACAACATCAGGATGTCTGCAGAGATTGGCCTCAGGCGGCCACAGTGGCTGCATGGACGCTACATGCTAGTGCGTTATGAGGACATTGCCCGGTTTCCTATGAGGAAGGCAGCTGAGATGTACAGATTTGCTGGAATCCCGTTCACTCCACAAGTTAAATCCTGGATCCTGAAGAACACCCAGGCCTCCAAGGATAAAAGCGGTGTTTACTCCACGCAGAAAAACTCATCAGAACAAGTAGAGAAATGGAGGTTTAGCTTACCCTTCAAAATAGCCCAGGTTGTACAGAAAGTGTGTGGGCCAACACTGAAACTTTTTGGGTACAAATTTGTAAGTAGTGAAGATATGTTGACAGAGAAGTCTGTTAGTTTGATCGAAGATAAAGTTTTCACCGTTTTATAGACTAATGGACATGAACTTTGAACTCTGATGCAGGAAACCAACAGTTTCTGAAAACTCTGGAATGACTGATATTTATTAGGGTCTTTCATGCTGGTGCAGAGAGTTATATTTTTTTCTGATAATGTACTATTTAAAGATTTTTACTATTTAAAATAGTTTGATGAAGACAATGTATTATTGAGCGGAAAATACATGGCTTTAAATTTTTAAAAGCAAGGATATTGAAAATGTATATATGGGTAAAACAGGAAGCACAAGTATCTTAGTTTTTGCACTCTGGACAATTTTCTCCATCTAACGCAAACTGTGTCATTGGCTTGTCCTGCAAGCCTATCCAAATTGTGGTTTGGTTTTGCAATAAGGGTTTGAATCCTAAGGGATGTAGCTGAGGGCATGTTAGCAATATATAAGCTGTTTCAAAGACTTCCAGGTTCCTCATTAGTTATTAGTTTTTGTGCAGCAACTCCTGAGTTAGTTACACAAGCTGCTTTTACACCAAAGAAACTTGAAATGAGTTGTAATGACAGAAAGAGGAAATACCAATTCAATGCATGAGATGTAATGAAGTAACGTACCGTGCTCAGTTTATTTATTTAGAATATGTGCTAAAATGTCATGACTCCAGGTCTGAATGTGTTCCACAGCCCTACTATTCTTGCACATGTATGTAGCAGTTTGCATGTATGTAATTAGCCAAAAATATCATCCCTTGGAGTGTAAGGACCCTTTCTGTAAAACAGATGTTTACATTGCTACTGTATGCAAACATTCCAACTGCAGCTGGTTTGCAGGATTGTGTGAGGTTTGTCAGCAGGTCCGTCTGTTGACTCAAGTCTCTTGGCTGGTGATAAAAAGGGGGGCCCCCAATACTTGGGCCTGCCAGACTGTTAGATGATGATGTTCTAGTCTGTTGTTTTTTGGCAATTTGTTTGTTACAATAAAACATCTTTTACTAACTCATTTTTAGTATTAAAAATGTGGAGGCATCTGTAACTGTATATAACTCTTAAATTTGTGAAGTTGTGTGGAAGAGTTTTACACTTGGCACATGATTCATTCTGTCGTCACTCATCTTTTTGTAAAGATCACAGAGGCTGAGCAATGCCAAAACAACAGAAAGCAAATGTGGCAGATCAATATCAAAGACACCCAGTTGGCGTAAAATGAAAAGGAACACAGACGCTGAGTAAACAGTTCCCCAGCAATAAATATTACGTTTGCAAAGCTCCTAATAGAACAACCCATGCACTTTAATTCCTGTTGTTGTGGGGTGGTGGTGGAAATACCAGGGGATCACCAAAGCTAGCAAGATTTATCCTTTGGACAGTGGATATCTAAACCACAATTCATAGCAATCCTTACAACAGTCGAGACGTTTCACTAAAAACAAAAAGGTCAACCTCATGGTGGGGCTGCAGGAAAAAATGCCTGTAAAACATTTCATAACAATTCAAGATATTTCAGTCTGATGATGGTGCTTCCTCTTATTTGGTCCATTACTGCTCAAGACTCACATTTATTTTGTGCTTTGTGCAGAAAAAGAGGGAAATTTATAAAAGAAACACTTATGTTTCAGTTCAGAGCTTTAGCTGTGAAACAACCGTACTGATTTCCAAGCCTCCTTTACTGTTTGTGTGACTGCTTGATTGAAGCACCTCTTGCCTTCTTTCAGTGGAGCCCTATCTAAACCAAATGTTGAGGGTTGCTGCACACTGACTGGTTTGTGTCTGAGGCGGCAAGGGTGCAGGATACTGTGGAGGCAGCTCCCTCGACTTCCAGTGTGTTTACCACCGAGGGCCTGGCTATTTAAGTCTCCAAACCTAGTAATTACCCCAGCTTTACATATCATGTGGTCCAAATCGTTTTCGTCCACCTGACCCCACCCACTTGCAGAAATGCAGACAGGCTGTCGTTTATACCGTCTCCCTCTCTCACACGATTCTTTTTTATTTGTTAACGAGTGACTTTATTTCATCCACTCTCTCATTCATGCTCTCACACGTCGCTAAGCCAAGCCACCTCAGTGCACTGGAAGTACATTCACTCATATCAACAGATCATTATGTGGTTAGTTTGGGTTAGTTGTTCTATTTTCGTAAGAAAAAAGTTCTGCCAGGTCTGAAGCGTCTCAGCATAAACCTAATGAGGAGAGGTTCAGCATTCATAAACTCTTATATTGGAGTGACTTTATGTGGGACGTGTGGAGGGTGGAGTCACTGTATGGTTTGGTAAAATATAGAATAACCACTTTCCACTGGATTAAAGCCTTCTCACCCCCCCACTCCCAACCTCCCGCCCCCACCCAGCGGTGAAATGAGGGCATTTAGGTAACCCCACCCTCCTGCTCAGTTATATGGTACCCTGCCACATCAACCATGCAGGGTTTGAAATATGCCAAATGACCCAAATGATGCCACGCTGTAAAATCAGATGCACAGACAGAAAATTGAGGTGATTCAGAGGTGCACGTATAAAACGTGCACCGTTGTGGGACGATAATGACAGTTCAGGAAGAGACATAAATCTAAATTCACAGTAAATTATCTCTCACTGAGGAATGCAATTCATAGAAGTCAGGTTGTTGCATGTGATAACGAGTGGGAGCAGAATTTCATCGCTCTAACCCAATTGAGTGATGAGGACACGTTAAGCAGTTTCTTTTTAATCTGTTGTGAAAAAGCGATGTACTGGAGATGTCCTCTTTGCAACTAAAGATAAGATCCATATGTGCAGAAGCTGCTCTGTTGCAAACTTTACATGAAGGAAGCACTTGTTGGGGAACATCAGACAAAATTAGGCAGAAACTAGTTTTTTGTTGGCATTTATTAACACAAGATCAAGTAGCAAGTGTCCTGCTGTCATTAAAGCCACACATTTTTCTCATTTGGGGCTTTAACAGGAAACGGTAACCTGGGTATTTTCTTTTCAAACCATACACAGAGTGTGTGGTTTAGTTTCTCTGCCGCTGCTGCACTAATGTTTCCACCAACAGTTGCAGCAGTTTAGAAACTCAAATGTTTATAAATACAAACAACCGCAACAGCACAAAGTGTACTTATCTATGTACCTCTCATAACATCCTCTTATTCTTATCTGTGTTCACTCAAGTTAGCAGGAAGTCAGGAGCTGTCCGATCACGCTGTGTCACAGACGAAAGTCAATTTCAAAGTCATCATTGAGCATTTTTGTGCAGAAGATATTAAAACATTTGTTAAATTTTGTGTTTCCTTTGTCTCGTGACACATGAAACCTCCTTTTTTTTGAGTAGTCCATTGTGGTTGACCACCCCATAAAAAACCAGAGCGGAAACGGATGGACATTTTCTCTGGATTTAGCTTCAGTGCAACATGTGAAAAGCGCATAAGTGAGATGTGGGAATGAGGCTTGAGCTGTCTGACCATTACAGCCACCAAAATGTATAAGAAAACAAAGTCAATTTTTTTTGTGATGAGTGTGGTATCTTTAAAAAAACGCTGTAACTAAAACTTGAGACACAATGAACACAAGGGAATTTTCTTCCCAAATACAGTCAACTCTTTGGTTTGCTCTTGTTTTCATTGGGACACTTTATCATTTTGATTATGACCTCAGTGTTTATGCAAGGAGTGGCCAACCCCTCTACCCAGTCCCACAAGAGAAAATAAAGCAAGACTCCCACCCTAAATGTACAAATCCAGTCTAAATAGAAATAACTCAAAGGTTTCTCCAGGTTTTAGTGAACCAGCATTCTAACCCCCTGCACCACCAACAATGGCTTTGTAGGGTATAAGCAAATACGCAGGGGGTTAGGTCAGCAGGTGGGGCAAAGAAAGCAGGGGCAAAGAAAGCAAGATGACAAAGTGCTACTCAGTGAATAGGTGTCATTTGTGTATTTACTTACGTCTCTTTTCTTTGTTCTTGTTTGTGGAAACACATTCATCATGCATGTATTTTAAACCCAGACTCAGATTCCTTCCTGAGGGAATTTAAAACCACAAAATGTGTCTCTGAAATCCCAGAAAAACCCAAAGCATGTACGATTTTCTACATTTTTGAGCTTTTTCCTTTTTTCTTTGTTGCTTTAGGCCTTTATAACCTGGGTGCAGGACATTGAGCGCCTGTTAGACAAAAGGACATTCCAAAAGAAAGTCTGACAATAAACGCAGTCAAATGTGCATGGGTCATCTGTCACCTGCGTGTATGACTCCCATGCCTGGTAGGAGGGGCTCAGGAGGGTGAGCCTCCATCCAGAAACGTTAGTATTGAACGTCCGGGGGATGAGATTTAACAATCAATGTTTTTCTAGTGATCCAACCTACTGCAGCTTTAAAGCATAGCATATGTACAAAACATGCAGAACTGCAGAAACCAATTCAAAATAAACTGGAACAAAGAAAATATGTTTTTTGTTAAACTGTTATTTCTTAGGTCTCTGTTTTGTGTGTTACTAAAATGCGACATGTCTCAAATAAAACAGACCTACTGTAGGCTTCTCCAGAATAAAATGTGCCACATTTGCATTTTGAATCAAGGTTTGTGAGGGAGCTGTTTCTAAAGCCAGATCTGGTGGGCACGCTAACACAAAGCTTCAGTCTTTTCTTACATCAATACATCCTTTTGTGTCAGCACCAAGCCGGAGTGAAGAGGTCTTTAAAAAAAATTTAGAGCCATACTGAATGGGTCGCTCCATTTGTCCCACTCTGATGGCTTCGCTCCAAATTCTTAGTAAGTGCCTTTCTGCTGCCACTAAAACAGAGAGTACAGTTTAGGGCTAAAAGGAGCAGAAGGAGCACGAGGCAGCTAATGAGGAACATCGAGCATCAATAGAGAAGCTCCTCATTTCCCATGAGATGTGGCACCGATGCATTTACCAATTATAGATTAATCTCCAGCAACTACAGTAATGACAGACTTTTTTCCCCCCCTTTTTGACATAACAGATGCCATGTGAGGGCCGGCCATGTCAAGCAGTTGCAGGACTGCCACAGATAAAACAGGCTCCAGTAAAAACTCGGGGAAATGTTTGTACAGCAGACCAGAGTGACCAGCGGAAGCAGACAGAGTATCCATTTTTGGAAAATAAAAAAAGCCCAGGGGGGAGTGGAGAAACTGAACTGTGTGCATTCATAGGATCAAAATTGAGGTCTTTCATTTCCACCTTTCTGCTCACTTTGACGTTTGTGTTTTCTCTGAAAGCCGCAGAAACAAAGAATCATTTGTGTTGCTCATAATGTAACACACACCACTGACCTAGGAATGGAGACGGGTTATTTTGAGTTTGAGCTGAACAGTAATTACATACTGTGGTGCTGTGTTGTTGGAGTTGTCATAGCAAATATAAAATAGATTTATTTTTAGAAATATTTATTATATTTTAGTGTGATTGTTTTAATATGAGCCAGTGACAAGAATAGAGCTGTGAGCTGTATTAATGATATGCCTCTGTCCGCATCTGACCGCAAACCACTGTGCTAAAATAACCCAACGCACCCCTGTCCCGTGTGCCGCACCACATCAAGCTGGGATATGACGAAATGGGGATCTCACAGTCAACTTTATTGTTACATCTACTTTTTGATGATGAAAATAAATAAACCACCTTCAGTGTGGCCTGGGCAGGTATTTCCAGGACATCCATCCCATGCAACCCAACAATGAATTTGTAAATATAAACATTTAAAAGACAATGAAATCCGTCATGGTTTTCTTCTCCTCTAAATCTACACATATGTCAACACCAGAGGAAACAAGTCAGCCCTTTCCACCACTGCCACTCATTCCCTCCGATTTGAGAAACAGGAAGGGAACACTTTCATACCTTTGCATCAGCCATTTCTCGTACACAAAGCTGCTCTATGGCCTGTGGTCTTATACAGTTGGTGGGTGCAGATAAAGTATGGGTAAAATTCCCCTTTGGAGAAAAACACGTTGTATAAAGAGGCCAATGCATCTAACCAGCCAGCATTTA